AAAAGTGACACCAGCATAGATGATGCCTGCCAGGACAAACATAAATAAAGACGCGTTCACATAATAGAGCATCGTATTTCTGCGGTGCACTGTTGGAATAATATTCCATCGTCATCAGAAGCGGCCGAGTGTGAAAAGGTAGCTCCATTATCCCAAGCTGAGTAAAGAGCAGCCTGGGTGCAGAAATTTCCCAGCAAAAACATGAGGTGATTTCATCTTGTCTCCAGCATAAGACAGTAGCCTTTTCACTATTTCTACCCAACAGCGAACCACGACTCTGAGGGCAGCTATTTCTGCTTTATTGCTGGTACTCAGTGTCCTCAATTACACTGTTGAACTACTTCCTGTTTTTGTGGGCGTTACATGCCTTTTTTGGAACAGAGCACTGTGCTGGGTGATTTTACACCACAGTGCATCACAATGAGACAATGTGCATACCGTGCTGTACGCCAGGTGGGAAGGAACACTGGAGTGTGACTAGAACAAAAGGTCCAACTGTTTTTCTGTCTGCAGAAAACAGTTTTGTGTACTTTGTGTATTCGGTCCAAAAAGATACAAATTCAGAATATGATCGTGTGGATTGTTTAGTGCATGAAAAGTGTCTCTCTTAGTGATGTAATCAATGAGATATAAATGAAAGTGGCAGGCTGTAGTAACGATAATCTGCTCACGGTCTCAACTGTAATTATGTCCCACCGCAGGCACACATGCAAAATGCTTTCCTTCTGTTTGTCACATTCATGCACGTATGCATGTACATTCAGGCCATTTAGAGTGAAGGAAGTCTGCTTTTAGTTCTTTGATTGCAGAGTGCTGCTGTCTGTTTTCACTGTTCCCTCCGACTGTGACTACATGTCTGTCTGCACGTCTCGGCAGCCAGCATGACTAAGGACAAAACAGAAGGAAACAAAGGCAAAGGTGAAAGATCCTCATGTTCCTTCAGCGTGGAAACTGTTTAATAGCACAATCTGGGAGTAATTAGAGCTGGTGGTTTGTTTTTGTTTTTCTTTTCTCTTTCTTTTTCTTGTTTTTCTTTTTTCCTTTGAGTAGGGCTCATTCAATGAGAAAAGATCTGAAATATGAGTTAAATAAAGTAGGATCTGAAACTGTTCTCATACAAGTGGTTAATGTTTTTGCAAAGTTTTTTTTAAACACAAAACAGTAGGGGTTATTTATAATTGATAATTTCATGAAACATTGCACAACTACCCAAAAGCAGTTCTTTCTCGTATTTTCACGTTATTCTTTTAAAGTCACCAATCCAGAGTTTTTGCAGTTCACACTATCATATTGAACACAGAACATAGTAAGAACATTTTACACAATGCAAAGTTTGGTGTGATCCAGATGCCTGTGTTTGGGTAAGCATGTGTGACTGTTGATGAAGAAACCTTTAATAGTCACACATAATTGTTGAAGACTAAGGCAGAACATAATGGAGAACAATGCATTAAAACAGCTTGTAAACCTCAATGAATTGGAAGAGACTGAGAAAGTTTTACAGGAAACTATTATTTTTAAATTATGGTATTGCAGGGAATTTATAGGGCGTTTGGCAAATAAAACGAACCAGTTTACTAATTTAGACCAAGATCAAGCAATAATCCAATCCTTTGGTTAGGTCCTGGTCACATTTCTAGAGACAGGATACATTAAGGAAAAATAATGTAATTTAATCTGAGTTCCACGGTTGGTCCAGTCACACTCCAATGTTGCTGACAGCAACATCTTTTTGAGTCCCTCGAGTTTCTGAGAGCTGGAAAATTGGCATTATGAAATACAAACAGTGTCATATGCCTGCGTAGATTTTAAAGAGTGGTCTGTTGCTTAACAGGCCAGGATGCCAGCTAAATTAAACTCCACTGTTACGTGTGACAGGGCTGTAAATAAACCTGACCTTAAAGTAACCTCAACATGACAGACCTAATTATGTAACATATATCTAGGAAAAGTTATTGGATGGTTTATGGTTTGAATTTATTCTTAGTAATTTATTAATATTGCATATCCAACATTTTTTCCCTCCTCTTTGTTTTGAATCAGTGAAAGGGCCTCATATCTGATGAAGACCTCAAGAAACCTTGACTCAAACGATTACAAAGGAAATGTCAGTCTTTCTGTGGGGACTCAGCGCCCCCATTTGGCAGAATGGTAAATTACACCTTTGATCATTGGGCACTTTTTCTTTTTTATATTTTTAATAGGCTAAATAGGTTATTTAAAAAATCTCACTTTAATTAAATTTTTGGTTTTTGGGTTATCTTAAGATGTGTTGTAGCTGACACTGACTTTATTGATTTTTAACATTTTATGCTGAATTCACATCCCCATGTTTCGCCCCACATTAGACAAACATAACGTTGCAAATAAAAAAAGTATTGGAAGAAATATACTTAATGTTTTCCCAATTAAAAATATGAAAAGAGAGCAGCTGTGAATGGTAATTTCCAAGTATTCTCACAAATACTGAAATGTATTTAGACCTGGGCTTTCATTAGGACATTATGGCTTCATTTAAAGTCCAGGCTGCATCTAGAGTTGTTATCCTGCTGAAATCTTTAGCAGCCTCAAGATTTTCTTCCAGTATTGCACTTTACTGAGATTCATCAAGACTCCAATCAACTCTCTCAATGCCTGCTGAGTCTGTTGTCTGAGTCCTGAGTTAGATTTATTTCACGTTTTGGTATGTTAGCCAAGAAAGATTAGTTTTGTTGAATGGGACTAAACCGTCTTCGTCCACATGTTTACTGTTTCCCCTAAACAACCTGTGGTCTTCTGAGTTTTCCATAAAAAAACACAACTTTTCCCCGTTCAACAAACTTTTTCACTTGAGTTTTTGATCCCAAAATGAATGTGAACCTCTGGTGGGTCTCTGGCTGATTCTCTCATGCTCTCTCTGTTCACTGTGTTAGTTTAGATTGACAGCAATGTACAATTGCAATTGCACAAAACTCCTCCATTTTATACCACCAGGATTATCTGTCTAATGTGTTCCTTGATCTTTATGATATTTTTTTTCTCTAATGTTGCTAAAACAAAAAAATACACAAAATTATATTTGCTGACTAGATAATTTCTAAAAATAAGTTTAGGAGTATCAGTATAAAGGGGTCTTAATAAAATGGATGCCACACTTGTTTAGATTTCTTTATTTTTAAATTGTGCCTCTTTGGTCACATCTTCACTGACGCACACTTTAAAAACGATTCTGACCGAGAAGATTTGCACTAATATGTTATTAGTACAATTCCGCTTACATTGCACATTAATTATTAATGTAATTACTTTCGGGATTTTTATTTATTTAAATCTAAAATAAAACTGTTTGCCCACATGGGTGAGACTTCCCTCCGCGCCCTCCCCTCTTGCCAGTGATGCTGTGCGCAAGTGCGTGACGAAGTCAAGTAGGTTTTGAGACCTCTGCTCCTGGTCTAACTCAAGCATCCCTCCACACTCATTCAGTTGTGGGACTTTTCAGGGAGAGAGACTAAAATCTAAGTAAGCCATGGAGAAGATCTGTTTTCTTCTTACTTGCCTTCTCGTTGTCCTGGTGCGTTTTGGCGCCGGTCAGGACCGTATACGCGCGCCTGTTGGCCCCTGGAGGCAGCGCATCCAGTGGGAGAATAACGGTCAGGTGTACAGTTTGCTCAGCACTGGGACTCAGTATCGCTTGCCTTCCCAGAACAGGAGACGCACCCAGATGTTACTAACAACCAAAAACTATTTAAACCAAGTCAACCCTCCTGTTGCGTTCTTGAGAGCCACTAGAACCAGGTCTATGAGCCTCCAAGACTCGGATCACTCTGAGCAAAATGACCAAATGGACCCGTCGCTTCTCGGAGCAGATGCGCAGTACCTCCTATCCGCGGATCGGACCGGCACGCACAGTCAGTCCAATGTGGCTGTGGATGATCACTCGAGTCAGACTCCGGTTAACAGCAGCGCTGCTGTTTTCATCCACGAGTTTTCCGGCGGTGGAATCCCCAGAGCAGGCCGAGGTACAGCTGTGGAGGACAGCGGCGCGCAACAGACCACTGCGCCACCAACCACAGCGCAGGACTTGACGCGCGGCCAAGTCGATAGAAGCTCCCCTGAGGGTTCGGACTCAGTCCACACGCCTGCTTGGGTCAACCTGGCTAATCACAGTCGAGTCACCCAGCAGACCAGGACGCAATCCCTGACCAGAGTCACTCCAGCGGTGGATGATTCCAGCAATGCTGTGGAGATTCAGTTCCCCCCTAGGAGTCCAGATACAACAGGTGCAGGTGATCCTCGGGATCCACACAGCATCCACCACAGGAACTCGGTTTTCTACAATGTTTACCCAGCGGACCGCAGGAACAGGCAGAACGCGCGCAACCCACCGGGCACCGGCGCCCACGGCACCAGGTTCTTCCACCACGGTGAGACGAACAGCAGACTGGATAGTAATTAGTTTATCCACGATCCAGAGCCGGTCAAAAGCTTTACGGGGCCCTAAGCAGAATCTTCTAAAACCACCAGGCCTCACAGTTCAATACTTTAATATAATCTAAACGTGCCTGCGTCTCGCATTGTTACTGTGTTTACAGCTGAAAAATAAACAATGTGTGTTCAAAACATTGGACTTAGTATCAACTTGGCAACAGTCATGTCGATACCACATTGGATTTTAAATTATCCAATGTGGATTTGGTTTCTAAAAGGGTTTTTTTCAGATTGAACAATTCACATTCAATCTGACCAATTCAGTTACTAATAGCACCATGTTCTGCGCTGCTTGAGCCAATTTCATTGCATGTCATACTTTTATGTACTCACTCTTCTCACAAATAGTTATATAGCATGCGCAGAATATTTCTGAATGTTTGAAAAATCTAAAAACAAGAATTTTCAATCACCATCCATCACACCAGCTGGTTAGGGCTGATATCCTGTTTGCCAACAGGATATCAGCAGCCATACAAATGTACCTATTCTGTCTTCTATTTTATTGTTGGCAGGTCTCCCAGACCTAATCCCTGACCCGTACTACATCCAAGCAGCCTTGTATATCCAGAGAGTACAGATGTATGCACTTCGCTGTGCAGCTGAAGAGAACTGCCTTTCCAGGTACCGTTATGTCACCATTTTTGTTGCTCTTAGGACCATATACAGTTTTTTTTGCATGTAATCATGTTGCAACCACAAACTGTTAGATACTTTATTGGGCTTTTCTGTGGGAGATAACATGACCTAGATAGGGCATAGCTGTGCTGTGACACATTCTTTTCTAGATGTCTTGCAAAAGAAAATCTAAAAATGTGGCACACTTGGGAGTAGCATACGATGATTTAAAAAACTATACCATTGTTGCTCTGGCTGAGTATTTTGGGTCACTGTTCTCTTGAAAACTGAACCTCTAGCATCTTCACAGCATGATGCTGCCACCACCGAGCTTTACAGTGGGGATGATTTATGCAGAAGTATCTGATCAGACCTCTTTCCTCCACAACATGTTGTGGAAAATGGCAAACAGGATTTTTCATGGCTTTCTTTCGACACTGTCTTTCTTCACTTATGGTCATCAGATTGAAAGGGGTTGAATACAAATGTTTGCAGGTATTTAATGTGTTTGAATTTGTCCATTTGATTGGCTGCCATTTGAAGAATTAATGAAGGCAGTCATTAGGACTGAGGATAGTTGGCTGTCCTGATGCTTGTTGGCTACTTGCATGTAGCAGCTCAGTGGCAGAGCGGCTGGGCACACACCTGGCCACTGCTCAGGATTTCTCTCCTCTGATCTGCGGAGGATCTAAGGAGCCGCGCTGCCAAGCAAAACAAACCCTGAAATGAAAGGCAAAGGATTTCAGAGCTGAAAATATAATCCACCAATTCATGACTCAGAGGGAATCTAAAGTGCAGTGAAGTGTATGTCAGGTGGACGGCGTTATGTAAAGATGAGGTCATTCAATCCCGCATGTGCTCTAAGTAGCTGTCTTGGATTTCCTTTCTCTGCAGGTCTGCGTATCGTCCGAGTGTGAGTGACCTGGAGTACAGAGTCTTACTGCGCTTCCCACAGAGAGTGAAGAACCAGGGAACTGCAGACTTCCTCCCAATCAAACCCAGACATGAGTGGGAATGGCACAGCTGTCACCAGTGAGTTCCCTCCTAAAAACATCTAACAACCTGAGCTGATAAAGGTAAAGAGCAGGAAATCAGGCCATCCAAATCAGTCAAAGCAGATGTCTGGACACAAATTCTCGATTGGGTTTCATTTTTGGGAAATGATTGTTTTCAATTTCCTCAATTTTATGAAAATCATTTTTTGTTTAGTTTAGTTTAGTCTCCATTTTTGAAATAAAAAGGTAAAAACAAAAACTATATATTTAAGAAAATCTGCTAATTATTTAAGTTACCAAACCTTAAACATTCACTTAGAAAGACTACTGGTAACAGTAACACATGCACACATACAAGCAGCTCAAGTTTTGTTTGCTTTGTCCCAGAAAGCAAACGGACCTCACTCCGATTAAGTGATGTTAGATGTGATTGGGAAGTGGGAACACCAATGAGGGAAGATAGACGGCCTTTTCCACACTCTGGTCAGCAACTTTTCAATTTTGGTCTAATCTGACCAGAGCACTTTTTCTGTCTGTTAAACACTTTTTTGTAGCTGTTTAAAGCTAGAACTGTTATGTTTGAAGTGTGCATGTCGATATTGTGTTTGTGTATGATTTTAATGACTGAATGATTCTTTGATTTGAGTAGCAAACAATAAATGATTTAGAAAAGTCTGGCTTCTTGAAAGCAAAACAAAGTGATTAAGGATGCCTCAAGACTTTTGCACAGTACAGTACAGTCCCCTTTGCGACGACTCACAGAAACCTTAGTTTTCGCAGCGTGTTTAGCTCAAAGCAGTCCCTCTTTCTGAGTGTGTTTGTTTGCGTGTCCGACTCTCTGCAGACATTACCACAGCATGGAGGCCTTCAGTAACTATGACCTTCTGGACTTCGCCACTGGACAGAAGGTTGCTGAGGGACACAAAGCCAGCTTCTGTCTGGAGGACACCTCATGTGACCCGGGGGTTCGGCGACGCTTTGCCTGCACTGCTCACACACAGGTTGGTCTGCACTGATGATTTTTTGTCATTTCTACTTTATAATTTTGTCTTATTGGTGGTTTTAGATTATTTACTGGTATTTATTTTCTGAACATAAAAAAATTATTAACCCTGAATTTAAGCAGAAAACGTGAGTAAAATGAGCGTGGTTTGTTTTAAGGGGCTAGGTCCTGGATGCTATGATACATATCACGCTAACATTGACTGCCAGTGGATCGATATCACTGATGTGTCACCTGGAAATTACCTTCTCAAGGTAGAGCTGCAGATCAAAACAACTACTTCCACATTTCATTGATTTGCCTCCTGTGTAGATTTTAATTTAACTACAATCTATCTTGCACATCATTGTTGTCTGTCTGCTAGGTGACGGTGAATCCATCCCAGCTGGTCCAGGAGTCTGACTTCTCCAACAACGAGGTCAGGTGTGACATCAGATACACGGGAAGCTACGTTCAGGCAAGAAACTGCAGGATTGTCGTGTAAGTCCCACGCGTAGCGCCTGTTTTTTCCAACGTGACTCAAGCAGAGATAACTTAAAGTTAACCAGTGTTGTCCTTGTTTTCCAGGAGCTGACCTGCAGAAGACACAGACATGTGCTTAATAACCTTTAGTTGTTCTTAAAGTAAAGCTGCTACTGTTTTGATGCTGTTTCACTGTTTGCTACTCTGTAATCTGTGTATTTATGATACACTTCCTGTCACACATATTGGCAACCCTGTTAAAAAAGTGTCAAAAGACTCAGAAATTAGACTTTTATTGCAGTAGTGTGACCTCACACACCGAGAACTTTAGTAAAATTCATCCTTTAATTTGAGAGCATTTATTCAATTTCCTCTCTCCCCTTTAGTTCCAGAAAGTGCTGAAGATCTCCTTTACATTCCTTTACACCAATCACAAGTGAAGACATGCCCTACATACTCTGATCACTGTAAATCAATACGTTAAGCAATTTAAAATGCTATATATTACATTCATTTTACAGGAATGACTGTAAAATGAATTACCAGTGCCAGTGAGGCACTGGTAAAATTTGCAAACAATAATTTGCAAATTTGAGTTAATTGGTAATCCTGCCCCCTTCTTAAAAAGTGTTCTTGCCCCAACAGCTGGATTTATCCTCATTTTGCTACAGAGATAAAAGAAGAATGTATTTAAATGTTTTATGAATCTATCCCAGACTTATCCATATGTGTGAAAGAAGCTCTAAATGAGGTGTTGTACCTAATGACAGATAGGCCTAATATGGTGCTATTTATATGAACAGGTATTAGTATATATAAGCAATGCAAGACAGAAGTTAACTAATAACTGTATGCCTGTCTTACATGCAGAAAAATGTGTTTCCTAGATTTACATAAGTGTCAGCTACGAAGTGAAAGGCCAACTTTGCCTCATTTCTGTAATTCAAGTTGCGTTACTTTTTTCCTTTTATCTATTTTAATGTATTTTATTGCAAAGTTTGCTCTTTTATGTTTTGGTTTGATGTTGTTTGGCACTTTGATTTCCACTCGTGTTTTGAAAAGAGCTTTTTAATAAAGTTGAATTGAGTTTTAATAGACGTTGCCCAGTCTCTTCCACTGTGAGATTGAGCTGATAGAACAATCTTCTGAATTTGTTTTCTGTCTTCCACAAGATGTTTTTCTGGGTTTCTGTTCAAACACAGGGAAGCCATTCATGACCAATTTTGAAGCAGAATTATTCCTGCTGATGAAAACATGTAATCACCAAAAACTGAGGAGCGTTTTAATGTTGGGTGGCTCATTGCTTGACTTCTCAGAGAAATAGTTGCAATTATTGCACTTTGCATGTGCGAGCCTGGGAAATAACAGGAAGATAAACACCACATCACACCAGGTGCCTGCTTGTGTGTATTAGTTGTGCTGCGCTGCAGCGGGTGACTGATTGGGAAAACATTCATCTGGCAATAGCTCCGTGTCTGTCTCCTGGGAATGTCTCGGTTTATTTGCACTTTGTCACCAGGTTTTGGTGGGATGCTGTTCAGAACCTGGCATGTCAAAGGGTATGAATAATAAATGAAGTTTTTGTTTTTGTTGAGCTGTGCTCCCTTTCTGCCTCGTTTTAATTTTGTCATCCAAAATACCCCAGACTTAAATACACAGAAATTGTTTCTAATGCTTTTATATCCTGCCACATTTCCTCTATAAGCAGATTTGCTTTTAGACTCTTTAGACTAAATACACATTCATTGCAGCAACATTTATATTTCAGCAGTGTTCAAAATCTTGATTAACATAAAGTCATCTAAAAGTAGTTCAGGATGTTTATGCAAGAAACATGCAGGTGGTTTAGATGTGAGTTCATGGAGTTTTCCATTCAAAGGTATTTTTGCCTCACTTTTCTAAGGTGCTTTTCTGTTTAGTTTTTTTTTTTTTAAACATATAATCACATTACTCAAGATTGAAACCCATTTCATTCATCCTCTTACCCAAACACGCCTTTGGCCCCGAAGAGCCGAGCCACTGCAGTGGGTCTGAGTGTGACGGAGAGTCTCCAGGTGCTGTTTGCTCAGGGCAGGGTGGCGTGCCGAGCCTGCAGGCCGTGCTGCAGGCCGATCCTGTGAGAGATGGCGAGCAGAAGAGAAATTCCACAGATCCGGTGACGCCCAGCAAACTGCTGACCTCAGTGTCTCCTCAACTCTGTCATTCCCATTGTGGGCTGACCGTCTGCACGGCTGCGCCCGGAGGACCTACTGTCTGAGACTGATGGTCAGCATGTCAGAGCCAACAGGGCAGACTTCAGGGATGCTAAACAGACACCAGTTTGCTTCTTAAACAAGCCAAAAATAGGACCTGAATTAAGGAAAGCTTTCTTCTAATGTGTCTTATAAGCTTGCTCTTCACAAGAGACCAATTCTTAGTTTGTTAGTGGAGATAGCAAAGGTGGATATTCACAGCTGACTGGCAGTTTTATGACAAAAAGTTAGGTGTAGTATCAACAAAAAAAACTAAAATACCAGTGAAGGATTTGATTTATCCTCTTGATGCCACTCGTCAGATAATTTATAAGAAATCATGAATGAAGTAATGATAATACTGAGATAAATGAGCAAAAGATGCTCTGTTTTTCTTCTTGGCGCTCTTCCATAAAGACCAGATTAATGGAGCGCACAACTAAAGTTATCCAGCCAAAAGATTTGTTCAGTGTTGTTCCAGGTCTCTCTTCGCCTGCTCCTCATTAATGCTTGGTTTGCACAAATCTTCAGCTTTCGTGGACATTCTTGCCTTACCATATTCATAGATGTACCATCCGGTGTGCATAACACAAACTCTCTGAACTCATCAGTTCAAATGCAGCTGATTAAAACAATTTAAAATACAAACGTAACAGGCCACTGAGGCACAGAAATGTGTTGGGCTTTAGCGCTGCCCACTGTGTGCCGAGTCTGAAGCACTGAGTTCGCATCATTAGTGAAATAATTTGGCGCCTTCCTGATGCTGACGTTCTGTTTCTCTGTCTGTGGCTGGTGTTTACCTTCCAGGGAGTTGTTTGTTGGCACCAAGGCGAGAAAGCTATTTGTGCAAGTGGAGGGGAAATTAAACTAGGAAATCATTTTCTCTCGTCTGACACAGTTTGTGTCTGAGGTAGAGTGGACAATATTTGCCCGGAAGAACAAGCAGTACCGTATGTGCTTTTGACCAGTCGCTTTCCCTTCTGATGACGTCAATGAATGAATTACGCAGCTGCTGTATAAATATCAAAATATTTATTAGCTGACTAACTGAGTGAATGCATCCCGTTTTAAAAATTTCTTGAGCCGACTCGTTTAACTTGGCAGACAAGTTTTCCGGCTGAGGAGGAGGAGATGTCAGGCAGAGTGCACAGAAGGCAGATTTTGGTGAAAAGGTGGTCAAGCTGAGTCTCTCTCGTTGTTTTGTGTTTAAATACTTGGTCCAAATGCTTACAATGTTTTGTGGACTTTACATGTGAGTGCCAGACAATGTTAGGATGTCTCCTCTCGATGGAAACATGTTCACCTGTGGACATTTAATGGCTCCAGAGACATAAAGCTCACATAAGAGGAGACATGCAGAAGCAGACCTCAGGAAAATGTGAGACACAATCACATCAGTTGCAGCATTTGCGACATGTTGCATGTTTTTGGCTTTAAGCGTTTGGTCACCAATTTTTGAGGTAACGCCATTTATAATTGAGTACATCCTGGAAAGAAATAGTTACAGAGACACAGAAGGAAAAAATGAACTCATAGACAGATCATTATAAAAATTAAATGGAAATAGATATATATTATTATCAATAAAATAATATTTTGAGACAGAAAGCCTAAAGGTATCATAATGAAGGAGTCTGCATCAATGAATTCCTAGAATCAAGGAATAATTATCTCTGACTCAATTGCACATTTCTTTGAATCTGAGTATGCTATTACCTCTACTGTATTTTTTAATGCTGTAAATTTGCCATTTCTGTAAATAATTTTTTATTTTCATATTTATACCTCTATGCATACTTCCATTTTGCCTGTCACTCTGCTGCTTTTCTATTCCACTCTGTTCTATTGTATATTTTGAAAATAATTGTGCAATAAAACTAACTCACATGAATACTTTGTGATTGACATCGAAAAATGCTTAGAGCAATAAAAAAAATATGCATATTTAAAATAAATATTAGAAATAAAAAGGCAACAACAAGAAGAAAGGCAAACCACAAAAATCCATGCAAAAATATTAAAGAAAAAAAAAGTACAATTATTTTATAAATATTTGTGAAATTTTAATAAATATGATATTAATTAATAACATACTTTAACACTACCTAAATACAAAAAGACAGTTTCCAGTAAACATAGACAACATAATAACTATTATGAAATATAATATACGTTTATTTCAACTTTGAACACAGTTGACTGACTATTGAATTGACACTGTATTAGTTGAAAAAGAGCGTCACCGTGTGGTGAAAAACAGGCCACAATGAGTGGGTCCAATTTTTAATAAACGGAGTCCCAAAACATGTGAAATAAAATTGAAACTAAGTGCTCTTTCATATATATATATATATATATATATATATATATATATATATATATATATATATATATATATATATATATATATATATATATATTTATTACTTTTAAATATATTTTTTAGTGCTTCCCTTCAGAGTGCTTCGCGGCGTGACGACGGCTCTGACGTCATCAGCAGTCGACGGGACAGTCGACATTCAGTATTCGGACTGACTGGTCGGAGTGTGACGGCACACAGCAGAGAAGACCGAGCTGGAAAATGCAGCTCTTCGGAAAAATGTTTCTTCTGCTTCTGGGGATTTCTGTGACTCTGAGTGTCTCGGCTGAGCAGACAAAGGCGGTGGAGTTCAACGTCAAACCGGGAGGAGTTGTGCACACTTTCTCTGAGAGAATCGTAAGTTGCTTTTTCTTGTTTTCCGGAGCCGTCGACTGCTCGCTTAAACTGAGTTGCCATGGAAACACGAACCTGTCGTCATTTTTTTAAACCCGAGCGTTGCTTTATTCTACTGCTTTACAGGAAGTCCTGCTCATTATGTAGGTCTGTGCACTTCACCGAAAATGTTAGCGATTCAAAACTGTAAAAAAGTAACATAACCCGTTTTATCTTTAAGATATACATGCTGAATATGTCAAGTTTTGCTTTTTTAACGATACAAGCGGAAAAACTACATTCCATCGGTCAGTTGCAGTCGCTGAGTGATGACGACACAGCCTGTGAAACGCTGACACGTCTATGTTCGTCTGCCACAAGGGCTTCATTGATTGGTTGAGACTTTTTTATTGTTTCTATTTATTTTAGAAGCGCTGAACTGGTTTTTATGAGATTACGCCTAAAATTTTTGAATGTTTGATGTACAAGCATCAAAGAGTGTTGGGATACCCAATAAAAACATTTACATTTCTGTTTATAATTTTGCAAGTAAAATGGTTATTCATATTGATTATTTAAAGCAATTTCCTCTTGTTCGGAAAAAGCCGCATCATGGCAGTTACAGCACAATTGACACGAATGAGATGATTTTATTACTTTCTTTGTGTGATTTTCCAATGAATTCCCAGTCAAGCATTACATCACAAAACGTTTGATGGAGGGATTATTATTGCAAACATTTTTGTGTCAAGAAGCGGTATTTTAAAAGACTCTTCCTTTCCTCATTCCTTTTCATGTAATCCTAAAGTGATCTTGATCGGAAAAGCTTTTCGGGCTTTCAAAAAATATTTTAAGAAGTGCTTTCAGACTTTTCAGCACTGGAGGACTTATAAACACTCTGTGATAAAGTTACAAATGCTTCCCATTTATTTAGGTCATCTATAAAAGAGAGTGAGCTGTTTGAGTGAGAGAAAATAATATCAAAGACTCTCTGACTCTTTTTAAACTTTCATTTAATGTTAATCTGGTTTGAATTACTTTTTTGTTTCAGAGCGAGTATGAGTGCATCTTCACCTATGCTTCACAAGGAGGAACTAATGAGGTATGTGTTTTCTCAATCACTCGCACCCTAAAGTTTTATTGAATATTAATCCCTGCTGGCATGACAGTGAAACATTGTTCTGCTCTAAAACAGCAATGGCTGATGAGTGTGGGCCTGAGCGAAGACGACCAGCTGTTTTCTTGCTCCGTGTGGAGGTGAGACGGGCACAACTTGCAGACAGACACTTCATCGATTTGCATTCAAACATGTCTTCCCCTGAAATGAATGCTTCAGGTCCATCCTGATAAGGAGGACTCATTCCCATAATGTGGCAGATGTGAACAGATGCGTGTCCTCCTCTCAACATGAGTAATACCTGCCCACTCACCGTACCAAACTGTCTGTGGTGGTTCCTCCTCTTCACTTGGCCGACCCCGTCCTCATCATCACAAACGTGTCCCATCTGCGGCTCCTCTGAGTCACCTGATTGATTTATTTTTTTCGTCAGTTGTGACAGCTGCAGGAAAAAAAAATCAACTAAAACCTCTAATAATGTCTTTTTGTTAGATTTATATGTGTAAGATGATAAGAAACGTTTTAATATCACACAAAGGTAACCTGGAAATATAGAAAAGCTCTAAATGGTTATTATTAGTGATTTATTAAGATAAAAAACCCAGGTTGGTATGAACCTATGTGAAAATTTTCTTGACCCCTAAATCTAATAACTAGTTGTGGACCTCTCTGCAGCAGCAACTGTCGTCAAGTATACCCTGCAATGTTTCATTATTGGTTTAATTTTGTCAACATAGGAGAAAATCGCTGGGGTATAACCCGTCTGACAACATGAAGTATGCCGAATATCATGTGAAAACAACTCATCATCGCCTAAATAACTTCAAGAATAGATGAGAAACAAAACATCTGTTCATCTGTCTGTCTGGAAAGGGTTCAAAAGACACTGCTAAAGCTTTCAGAGCCACGGTCAGAGCCGTTATTCACAAATGGAGAACAGTTGCAGCTGTGGGGATTGACGACACATCCCAGAGGTCACAAAGGAACCCAGAACATCTGAAGTCCTGGAGGTCGCTTTAGTTAAAGCGATGATTCAAAAAATTAAATAAAAATGTCAAAAAAAAAAAAAAAGGATTGAATTCCTTTAGGTTTGTTGTGAAAGAGATCCAGAGTGTTATAAACACACCGTCACATGACGCTTTGCTGTATCAGTGGCCGACATTCAGTTTGACATTACAGATGTAAAGTGTTTTTCCAATGAAAAGCTTGTAATCTTTGGATATCCTGATCGACATGCTTCTCGTCTAACCCTACAAATATATGGCTATGAAAAAATTTTGAAAACAGCACGGCTGTATGACAAATGTCAAATTAGCAATTGGGGGGAGGGACTGGTGCAATGCAGCAAGTCTCATATGAATGGCTCAAAACAAAAGGAAGGTACTGGAGTGGTCTAGTCAAAGTATGGGCTTCACCGGCATTGAGATGCTGTACATGACCAATGTGGTTAGAATGAAGCATTTCTGTGAAAAACAGGGCAGCAGCTCCTCCACATTCAGATAAGAGTAACTCTGTGAAATCGGTTAACCGCTGTTTGACTGTATTTTTGTTACCTTTGATATAAAATGATGTTTGATCTGAAAAAAGAAAAAAAGAAAAGGATCTGTCAGGGAGCAGTGATTACTAAAGAGGCTGTGTGTTGAGATCATTATTGTTTAAACATTTCTGTTTTTAATTTCTTTCAGGCCTCAGGGAAAATCATACCTGTTTTTCACTCAGTTCAAAGCTGAGCTGAAAGGAGCCAAAATTGAATATGCCAACGCTTTTGTAAGTATGAAACCAGCCTGTTAATTTGTTTTTTTTTTTACTTTTGTGGCTTTGTTTACATGAACCGACATTGTCAGCTGATCTTGATCCCAGGGAGCGACGGCCACCTCACCGGCTGAATACTGATGAGAGCCGAACGATAAGTTGATCAAGGATCAATAGTGGCATTAAGCCATGTGAAATTGGGGCGTGAAAACCCCATCCTGCATGATTTTATAGGACCGACCTATGTTTGCCTTTAACTCGGCGTCCTTTAGAGATAAAAATCTTATTTCTTGACAACCTGCTGCCACAAACCCTCTCAAGCCCAGGCAAACTAACAAACAGCATTAAAGAATTGCTGCTTGATGTTCCCATTCTGCCTCATACTTGCTGTCAGTAGAGAGATAAAAGCTTTTCATTACTCAGTATCTGCACAAATGTCAGAAAATCAAGGCGAATTCCTGCTGAACGTCTTTTTGCACAGCCGGCAAATAAAGAACATTTCAGCCAGCGACACGCATGTCAAACTCAAGGCTACTTTCATGTTCTGCAGCTTCAATATTTCGCAGCAACACATTTGGTATCAGATGAGAGAGGGAAAACAGATGTCACCATTGATGCTTTGATCTCGTATTTTTGACAAAATAGACATTTAATGACAGAATTTGTCAACAAAACCATGACTTTCCTAGATCAGCATGAAATCATCTGATGTGTAGCATTAGTGAAGGGATTTATTGTACGTCTGAGTCACAAAGCCAGTCTTACTATTCATCCACCTCATCTCAATCGGTATGAAAAATCCTTTTATCATGTTCCAGCTCTGGATAAATGTCTAAGGCTATTATTTGTCATCTAGTTGAAAGAACTGGGATTTCTTTAAAAAAAAAAAGAAGAAGAAAAGTGCTTTATTATTGATTTATTCAGCATTTAATGGCACCTGTCCTTTTTTTAAATTTCCACATCATAACTTTGCTTCTGGATTAAGCACCCAGACAGATAAATTCTTATAAAAAACATTTCACTGCCCTCTGAAGCTTCGAAGATCAGGATTTTCCACTGTGATTCTTAACCTGGTTCTGGTTCTGGTTCAGATGACGAACACTGTCATAAACTTTCCAAAAATCTGGAAAGGTTCAGGGAAGGTTTGGGACTTATGTGCTTGGAAGTCCTCCAAAGTCTCCACTAAGAAACTTTTTAAAGTGGCCAAAAAACATGAAGGAAAATTAATATCAGTTCTTCAGCTACATTTGGTCAATATTTTTTAGTCAGAGTGGAGGTTCTGAATGCTAACGTAGCATTTTCACACTATTAAGTTATTAGTATCTCTAAAATAAATTGTGGCTAAAAGGGAACTTTTGGATTAATCTCAGGTTTTTATCTGACTACCAGAATCTCTGCCAACAATCTAATCTTGTCACCTGATGTTAATTAGTTTTCTCAATGTCTTTCTTCCTCTCATCCATTAAACCCATTATGAGCTCCACACCTCTGGACGTTTACAGCTTTCATCCTCTAGCGATGGCCTCAGCACCATCCCAACTTTTTACGACTTAATGCGAGTCAGAAAGACACATTTTTATTAGTTCTTGGAGTCCGACTTGGAGTTGTATCTCTGCACGTAACGCTTTCAGTGGAAGGTTAATGTCCGGACGGTCACTTCGCAGCGGTCTGCCGTATCCGATGCGGTCGTGGGCTGCGAGGCGATGCGAGGCACACCTTGACACGCCTCCTTTCCCCCAGCAAGGACATTCCTGACACTCGCGTCATTAGAAAGAGAGGGAGAGAACATGTTTCCTCCTCCTGCTCTGGCTGTGTGCCCTGCACGGAAAAGAGAAAACAGAGAAAATAACTTCAGAGTGAGGAGACTGAAACAACATTGCATACACAAACGCATCTCTTTGACCTTGATGCTGAATCGGAGTTCTTTCCTCTGTTGTTTTTTTTCTTATTTTTCTTCCTTCCTGGGCAAATGACATTGTTCTCTGTGCCGCCGCCTGTTGTCTGTTTTTTTTTAATTTCTTGTTTTTGTTTTTCACCGTTTCCTCCTCGTCGTTGCGGATGCGTCTCCAGTCAGAAACAGCAGTGACAGGCCAGCGTGACGTACCTCTGAAGCCAGACGAATTTACCATAGGAGAATCAACAGGTGAGGAATTGATTGTGTCTCCAAGTGTTCAATCAACTCCCTCTGCCTGTCACATCAGTCTCTTTCCCTGCCTCCACACACACACACACACACACCCACACACACACACACACACACACACACACACACACACACACACACACTCCCAGCCCTCCCATTATCATGTTGCAAGCTCCCTGCAGATTCCCCTGCGAAGCGTGCGCTCCAGCTGTGAGTGGGTTTTCACAGTCGTCCCCATAGCATTATTTGTTGTTATTGGGCTCCTGCAGAAATCCCCAACTGGGGCTTCAGTTCCAGCCTGTGATTAGCAGGATTTGACTAGTCACCCCGACTGGCAATTTACTTCAGCTGTCATTTTCAGCAGATTAGACGCTAAAGTACAGAGGCTTACCGGCTCCGAACTCAGCGCCGATGACAGACTTAAGGATAATCCCATCACTGAGAAACAGCGGGAGCGATGAATTCCAGGCATAGATTGCTTATCGGCGTGGAGTACAGTATGTAAAGGGGCTTTTTAATTACCACAGCCCTAACGTTCCTGCTGCAACACAACATGTTCAGGTTTTGGTAACCCAAACAGAGACACCTGTTGGAGAAAATAGTAACTACATGTAAAGATACCCCGAAAATATCTACTTATTTTATACCTATACAAACCATCCGTTGTTTTCTTTCAGCTTTAAAATATTTCTGTTTTTATTTTCTGGTTTTTATCAGCACTGCATGCGTCTCTATTCTTACACTGAATAATTTGTCCAAAACCAGATATTTTGCCTCAGCTGTTGGCACTTAATTGTCCGTGTGACTCATTTATTTCTGCACTCTGAGTTTTTATTCTCCATCTAGTGGCAGCTGTAATTAAAATGCTCTTTTGTTAGGAGATTTTTTTTTTTTCCCTGAAAGCGAGGTGCAAATAATTTAGTTTGCTGGTTCATTTTAGAGTATATTCCATATTAATAGAGGCCATCTTTTTACCGTGAGAAAAGATTTTGCAACAGAACAACAAAACAAAAAATATAGAAATAAATTATGGAAAGCAAAAATGAACCTTCATTTATATAAGTTGTTCTAACCTTAACATACTGAGCTCGGACAAAACACACAGCCGAGTCATGTTACACGACAACTCAGGACAAACTACCGACTCATTTTGTTTTTCCAAAACATCTGTTCAAACAGCCAGGATCGAATCACAATCAGTACAACTGAGCTTTACAGTTTTCATGGTTAAAAATATTGTTAAAATGTGTTGAAATTATTGCTACAATGGTGTTATTAACAGCGTTGTGTTGGGTTATGTAAACATTGGTATTACAAAGATAAAACTACTTAACAGAATATTTTCTTTGCGTCTTTCTATTTATGACTAGACTCTTTTCCTTCAAATTAAGACTTTGTCTCCCTGAGGTTACCTGAATCCATATATATAAAATAATATGGACACTGGAAAATGTTTACACTTTTTTATTCATGAAAAGGTAAGAAGACATAATATTCCCATCAAATCAATTTTGTTGCAGAATCCAAAAATGCCTGCTCATCCAAACATCATTAAATTAGCTGCTTCTGTAGTTGTTTCTATGGCAGCAAATACTTTCTACTATTTATTGTATGAAGAATAATGAAGTTGTTGTTTTATACATATATATATATAAATATATGTATATGCAGTCTGTGATGATGTTACACAGACCGCAGCAGTAATCCACTCTCCATTCTTAATTCCAGTGACCCAAAGAGATGGAAAGTTCAGCGCTCAGCTTTCCAAGCTGACCGTCATTGGACGGACGAAACATGACGAGCTCTGATTGGACAGAAGTGTCGCTGAGCTGTGACCAGTCACAGCACCTCAGTGAACTGTGCTTCTGCTTGTTAGTATCAGTGGATTTCTTCCTGAGAAACGACCAAAAACTGAAGCAGGATGGAGCTGATCTTGGTTTGAGGGGACACGGTGAACCAGTTGTAGTACATATCCAGTCTTTTTCGCTCATTTTTGGATTTTGTCCTACAAAAGATGAAGGAACCAACTGATTATCCACACTCTCCAGGATCAAAATCGGCCATAAGACTACGTGCTTCTGAAGTTGTTTCTTAGTTTGTAATGTAAAGAGATTCTGGTTTGATCCAGTGGGCGTGGGGAATGTATAGATTGGTGACGGGATGGGGTCTGCCCAGCTTAGATACATTTTAGATTAGCAGGAGATTTATGCATCTTGTGTAATCCTGAGAGGAGAGTGAGTAATCCCTGGTATTGTGAAGCAGCACACATCCAAACAAGCAGAAATTGCTTTGTCTGACTGCGAGCCGCACCGCTGTTGAAAGAAGCACTTCAGTGTCTCCATTTATCTACATCTGCTGCAGATAACTCAAAGCATCGCGTCTGATCCCAGCCAGTTTTTTGTTTCCTGCTATTTTTCTCCAACGAAACTATACTACTTCAAAAATATGTCACAAAAATAATCAAAATGCAACAGATTTTTTTTTTAGGTTATGCAAACTATTGGCCAGTTTGAGTCTCTCTCTTTCTATTTAATGTAGGACTATAGATTTCCAAATGGAGCTGATATCACTTTATTCAAATGCCAGAAGTGTTGAAACAGCCCTGAGCTGAATAATTAAGAAACCTCAGCGTTGCTTTAAGTTTTCTGGTAGCAGTAATCCCCAACTAGATCAAAGTTTTGTAGTCAAATGCGAAAAAAGCAGTTGGGTTGGGGGGGAGAAAAATCTAAAAATTGAAGTCTGAAACATTAGTGCAGATGTTTAACTCGAAAGTAACAAAATGTAAAGCACGCACAGACATTTGGAAGTTTCTAGATGAGGAATAAAAATGCCAGCACTCGCTCCCTCTCGAACCTCTGGCTTTCATCTCTCGGTGCCACATGTGGGGATCAGTGAGAATATTGTGCAAGTTTCAGAAGTGCTTCATTATCACATGCCCCTCGTCTCCCTCTCTCCCCTTCTCCTTCTTCTTCTTCTCTGCTCTCCCCTTTCTCTGTTATTCTGTGCGGCCTCTTTATCTGACTGGCATTGATCCAAACCCTCAAACAGCACAAGTGTCCAAGGATTGAATTCAGATTGGAGGATTTCTCTGATTTGACTCTGCTCTTGGATTAGCCGGGATAGGCGGCGTACCTTCGGTGTCTTTCATCTGGTGTCAAGGCGATCCCCCGGAGCGGAGGAAACGCAGAGTCCCTTTGTCCCCATCCAGGCTCTCTTTCTCTCTCGGGGGTGGGGGGGTGAGAACAGGAAAAGATCACACCCGGACCTCGACCCGGCTCTGAGGAGAAAAAAACAACAACACAACTCGCGTTATTAATTTTGTACATGCGGCTTTTCTTTTTCTACCTGTTGATTGCTGTGAATCATGATGAAACTCGATGGGTGTTTGAATAAAGACGCGTTGTCACCTCGGTGGAGATAACTCTTGTGTGTTTTTGTCAGGTTACATCAGTCGTGGTCTGATTGAAGCTGCCGCAGCCTTGTCAGAAGGGTAAACATGAAAAGAGGAGGAATTTGATTGCCTGCGTCGAGGCGTTAAATATTCTGAGCGCTGTCAAGGCCGGGCCTCGGCGAGGATCGCGTTTTTATGTCCCACCTTATCTGCCCAATAGCCGTAATTTTTAGAAGCGCCACTAATGCATTCCTAATTTGGACCAGTTTAGGGAAGCAGCCAGTGTCAGAGCCTCCAAATGAGACTTATGTGACCCTTTCTGCAAGAGTAATGAAAAATTAGCCTTAAAATGTATTCCGTAAGCGTAGTCAATTAACGTATACTGTGCTCAAATAAATGTTTCTAAGAGATAGAGAGCCTCTATTGTTTCCCCGTAATTTCTGGGGGGAGGAAGAGGCTTTGCTGGGAGGATCTATTAAATCCAGAGGCACATATGGGAATGTATGGGCTGCTGATCTTTGTGGGCTTACTGAGATAGAAAGTCAGGAGGGATTTATCTATCATTATGTTAAATCCAGAGAAAATCTAGATTGTCTGCTTGCTTGATGCAAGAGTCGCACGTCGGGAGCTGAAAACTCTCCGTTCAGGAGTGTTTTTAAGCCTGAAAATCGCTGCTTTTCACCTGCTGAAAAACTCCCCAGAACAGCGAGATGCTAATGATTTCCTGACACGCTGTGCAGAACCGACCCGCAACCTTCGCAGCAAAGCGGAACCTGTGATTTCTGCTGCAGTTTGACGGCCAAACTCTGGCCCGTTTCTGTTGAGCTGTTTGTTCCTTTGAGTTGTAAATCTCTGCTTCTCAACGGCTCTTTGTTTGCCCATCAGCTCTCTCCGTCTGCAGGGCCCAGAGCTGCCTCGATTCTGTCATCCGGATCCTGAGCACATATCAGCACCTCGGCGTACTGTTTTACACCAGCAGAAAAAAGTTCCTTACATCACAGGAAAAACTATCAGGAGGAACGTGCAGGATGTTGTGGAGCAGAGGTGTATTACATAGAGCTCCTGCACAGCTTGTTGGAAGTACAAGTTATAAATAAAAGATGGATGTTGTTCTAGTTAGATCCTGGCTAAAAGAATGGGCTACATGAACGCAGACTTTATATATCCCTTCATGCTACATTTGTGCATTTTTTTTAATTAGGACTTTATGTGGTTGACCAACAGCAGCTGTGAAGGTCTCAGGTTTTAAGAAACCTCATGAAGAGTTTAAAGCATGGTTAGGGTCAATAAAACAAAATCCCATCTGAAGAATGGGACCTGAAATCCTTTTTTTAATGTTTGACTCAAGCAACGCAAAGAACACAGCAGACAAGTGGGGGAAGATGCCGAGGACAGCTGAATCCAACATTGAACATTTTAGCCTAAATGCAAAATATGATATGTGAAAGGAAAACCAACAATGTAGTGTGGAAAGCATCCCCACTGTGACCTGGTTGCAGACGAACACTGTCCTGATGTAACAATGTTGGGAGCATCGCTTCAGCAGGGACCTGGAAGCTGGGAGGACGGATGGAACGTGAGACGGATCTGTCGGTTCCTAAGCGCCTTGTGAAAGTCCAGACCTAATTCAGCTGAAAGCTGAAGGCTTGAGAACTGATGTTTATTGTTTCTGTTCACCGACTGAGCTGGAGGCGTTTTGCAGAGAAGAATGAGCAAAATGCCTGTGACTTGATGTGTAAAACTGGTAGATTCACATCCCCAAAGATTTGCAGCTGGAAAGATTGAATGTCGATGAAGACTTTGCAAATTTGTACTTTGGAAACCACATATTATTTTCCTCCCACACAATTCTTTGCTAGAATGTGTTCATTTCTGAACAGAAGTTTGTGGTTATAAGCTGACAAAATGTGAAAAACGGTTGATACTTTCCAAAATACTGTATTGTATTTAGTTTTAGGGATTTTTCAGGGAAACTTTAATCAGCCCTGTTTAACATTTATAGCAGTATTTGGATCTTTGGAGTGAATTACATGCACAGCTAGTGGTCTTTGATGTGATCTGTTATGCATTTATTCTGTTTGTAGAAGTGGAAAAAAAAGAGAGAGAAAAACATCACTTTCAGCGTTTAACAGACTCGGAGCTCGGAGCAAATGGTTTAGATCAAAGCGTATTTATTTGTTTGGGTGGGTGGCCTAGTAAAAGTCCAAACCAAAGTTCAATTGAGACTCTGGCGAGACTTCAGATTTTGGTGTCTAGAAGTGCAGGGCTGTTAGAGACATGCCTCAAAAGACTGGTAAATAAAAGAAAAACTTGTCAATTTCCTTTCCACTTTACAATTACATGCTGTCTTGTCTGACATTAAATCCGCACATAATACATGGAGGACAAAATTCTTCTTCAAAAAGAAGAACATCTTTCACAACACACTGTAGCTCGTCACAAATGTCATTAATTTAGCAAATATTAGACGACAATGTTACAGATTTTAACTGACAAATTTTATTCAATAAAAAAATATCATTTAACTCACTGATCTGCAGTTCAAAATAAACCCGTCCAATTTCATACGGCTTAACAAGCACGTGGCGACAGTGGACAGTTGGATTGCATGGAGCCATTAGCTTTGCAGCAATCTTTCACACTCTAAACAGTTATTTTCTTTGGTAATTCTTTTACAGTGCAGCAGTAATTCGGTGCAGTTGGCCTGATTGTGAATCAGTGATCCCGGTACCATCTGATGTGAGGCAGCGGTTCCTTCAGTATGCGCGTTTGCGAGACAGAAAAAGCGCTCATTGTTTTTCCTTCAGAGACTCGTGTGGTAATTTATCCTGTGTTTAATCAAGACTTGTGAAAGAAAGATTTCTGCATTCAGGGTGCATGCAGAATTTTAAAGGATTTACATAAGAAATCTGAGAAGTCTAATTTACTCCGGTCGGTCTCACATCCTGATTCTGGAAAATCTGACAGCTAATCCCTATCTGAAAATAGTTTCGCATAAAAGCGTCGCTCACTCATTCCAGAAACTCTGTTTAAAGCCGATAATGCCCATGTCGTGTGAAACGTCTCGGGCGTCAGAAGAACCGCCGCTGATATGAGAACGTGTGTCGCAGTCATGGCAGCGTAAATATAATGAGATTAACCGCTGATTTTGATCGTTTCATTGAATTGGTTCACAATGGAATAAACTGCAAACTAGCAGCAGCTTTATCCTGTTCAAAAAGGTCGGCACAAAGAGAAAAGGATCCGATAAAGCAGCATTTATGTCCTAAATGAAACAGCTATTGATTTCCTGTGTTGTATTTATGTAATCAATCTGGCTGGCATTCCTCTCCAACACACCAGCTCCTTATTTCTTCCCTGTTGCATCCCCTTGACATTTAGAGGGGAACAGATGGAGACGGAGGCCAGGTGGGTCGAGCCAGAGGCAGCAAAGGAGATGGGATTTTTGTAACACGGCGGGGCCGGATGAAGGGCACAACGTATGGCCAGCTGCCCCCCCTGTCTCCCTTGACATGCACCCCAAAGCTGGCCTGAACGTTTCCTCTGTGGCCTTGCCAAGCGTCTCCTTTTATGAGAGCCTTTCTAGCCTCTAGATGCAGCGCAGATCCCTGACCTTGCCTCTCCTGTGCGCGTTCTCACACCGCCGAGCCAAAGCAGCTTGAGCCGCGCCGACTTCTCATCACAGCATCACGACTCCTGACAGCAATTACCGACCACAGGCGATGCTGATATATGTGAGCGACTATGCTGGGATGCATGGGGGTGAGGTGCAATAAAGTAATCACCTCTATCTTTGTCTCGCCGTTCCGAGGTAATTGCAGTTGCCTTCAGATTTCTGGCTAATAATGCCTTCCCCTCTGCCCTTTCGCTGTGCAGTCCGTGGGAGTTCGCAGAGCCGGGGCCGCAAATTGAACATCTGCACAAAGGCTCTTGTTACCTGAGCGGTGAGCCGGCCAGATGTCATTACGCGCCGTGCGAGAACCCGGGAGGTTTGAGAGCAGGGAGGGGAAAGGGGAGAACCAGCACTGCAAAAACACAAACTCTTACCAAGTATTTCTGCTCTGGTTTCAAGTGCAAGTATCTCAGTACACTTTAAATGAGACAGGACTAACTCACAAATAACTTTTCAGCAAGAAACATGAGCTTGTTTTTGAGTCAATGATTACTTTAACATTGATAAATGAAAAATAAAAGTGGCCAGTTAGTTTCCCATAATTTAACTCAAGGGGAAAATGATTTCACCTAAAGCTTTTTTATCAATATTAATAAATATATTATTGACATAAAACAAGCTCCCATTTCTTGCTGAAAAGTCACTTCTAAGTTAGTTTGTCTTTTTCCAAGCATCCTAAGATATTTGCACGAGACCAAAAGTACTTGAGAAGACTTTGCTTCTGCAGTGACGCAGTGGTTCTGGACTTACTCACCCTGAGCTGCGTCTGTGTCCCGCTGCCCTGGAAACTTGATCTCGGCTGAAGTTGGCGAGACTGATGCTGCGTTAAATCACTCCCCACTCCTGCAGACATGTGGCTGGTGCTGCGTTTGTGGCTCTGTTCGGTCGGCCGCCCCCCTCCTGCTGCATTGTCTCACACGGTGGTTGAGAGCAGCCTTCTTTTCTCGGGGTACGGAGGAGCTTTGCGGGGCTCCTTCACTTTCTTTGAGGGCTCAGAGAGTCGGTGGTGCGGGTACGGCGGGGGCTTGCGGGCCCTGCGGCCCTGTCCTGTGGGTGGTTTGGCTGCGCAGGCCCTCGGGGGCCCCGCTGAGGCCGCTCGCCGCTCTTTGTCGTGCGGGGGCAAACTTTTGGTTTCGGAGTTGGTGGGTGGGCAGCTGGCAGACTGAGGGTGAGACGGTGAAAATGGACCAGCAGATGGGGGATCGCTTTGTGGGGTCTTGAGTGACCCGACTTTGGTCTCTATGATGACAGAAGGGCTGAGGGCGGGGGGCGGATAGGACTGTGGAGACAGAGGGGAGGAGGGCTGCGATCCGGGGCTGTGATGGAGCTTCACGGTGAGCGGAGAA